GGTGGTTCTTAAGAGCAATAATTCCAAAATATTTTACTCACGATTATCTTTCGGGGGGGGGGGGGGGTGCGGTCGAGCGGGGGGCACAGAGCTTTGTGACAAAATCGAAGGCGGCAACGGGATGGGGACGGGAATGCGCGCAGGGATGACGGCAAAACAGCGGGAGGGGGGGCGGTTTGAGTTGTGCGTTGCGGGACGCGGGCATCGACGCGTGTCGGGCAATGTGTCGCGGTGCCGACGGGTGGCATTTGCTGCACATCGTCAGTGGCCCCCCGCCCCCTGCCGCCGCATTTGCGCCGACCCCTCCTTCTTACAGCTTTACACCCGCAGCCCCCTAGTAACCTTACATTCCTCGCTGGCTGCCATACTCCCAGCGCTCATTTCTCCCCCTCCGATCACCTTTATTTCCATCTTCGGCTCCACCTGCATTTCCTGCTTCCCCAACGCCATCTCGCCTCCTTCCAACTCGAACATCGCTATCGCCCCGTCCTGCAACGCCGCCACCATCCCCCGTCTTCCTTCCTCGTATTCGCCCCCGCGCTCTCCCGCCAGCTCCCCAGGAATCCCCGCTGCGTGCACCGCCGCCGGGTCTACCCCGATCTTACCCCCGTCCTCCCGCTCCCCACGCCGAAATGTCCCAGACACCCCGACAATCACCGGCTGCTCAAAGCACACTTCCAACCCGCGCCGCCATTCCTCGGGCTTCATCTTTAGTCGCGGGTGCATTTCACCTACAAGCTTAGTCGCGTTCTTGATATCCAGCTTGTGAAATCGTTTTTCCAGTTCCCGCCGGATCTCTGCATCTGCCATACCTTCCAACCCTCCGTTCCCAACCCCGCTTTTTCCGCTCACCCCCGTACTCGTCTTTCGCAGAGCTGTCAGATGCTCGATATCTCGCGCGTCCTCGCTATCGGGCACCATACACATGTAACTGCGGTACAGCCGTTGCCGTCTCGCCACCTGCGACGCATTGCCCCCGTCGAATCCGCTCAGGTCCCACACCGTCACGTACGGCGACTTGGTCACGTACGTCGCCACCAGCTTTGTGCCCCTCCCGCTCGACACCAGCACCGACGAAATGTCTGATGCACGCTCCCGTTTCTTACGACCCAGCGCGTGGTCAACCCACCGCCCGCCTTCCTCGCGCTGCATCCACATCCGTGCGATCCCGTCGTCGCCTGCCGAGAAGAACCACCCGCATTTCGACCACTGCACTTGCCGCACGCGTGGGCATCGTAGTACTGCACGTCGGATCGTCGTCACAAACGACTCCTTTCCTTTCCGGATGATGCTTCCCGGCGGTAGTTCCCACACCCGGATGATCTCGTTTGCGGACACCGCTGCCAACCACCGCTGCTCCTCCTTTCCGTAGAACGAAAGGCTGATCGTCTTGAGCGTCCCGTTTGATCGCGTCCGGTTCACTTTGTCCAGAGCCACGTGTTGCTGTCCGTTTTCCGCCACTGCCCCTTCGTTCTTGAAGCTCAAAACTGGTTCTGTCTCACTCCCATGCAGCGTCCACAAATGGATATACCCATTATTATGTCCCGATGCAAAGTATTCCCCGTCCAACGACACGTCCGTGCACGTCGCCTGACTAGTCACGCAATCAAACGTCCGAACCCGCTCCCCTGTGTCTGTGTTCCACAGTGCTATCGTTCCCGTGTGCATACTTTCGTCCCCTCCAGAGCGCGAAGTCGTCAATAATTCGCGCGTCCTCACCGTCGGCATCATCGATGTCACGGGGTTGGGCCTCGGAGTCGCCTCTACTGCTTTCCCAGCCCGGTATCCATCAGACAGCTTTTCTAACTTCCAAAAAAATAAACCGTCTACCGTCTCTGCAATCACACAGCTGTGATCCGGCGTTATTGCAAGGCACCGGACCAAGTTTTCTATTCTCTCTACACGGCACACAAGCCGCCCTGTTTCCACATCCCATATACAAATCGAACTCACTTTGCGTGCGGTGCTGCGCCCTTCTGTTATCGCCTTCAACTTTTTCACAGTGGAAGACAATGATGTATACGGCTTTCGTTCCGTTTCCTTTGCCGAGATGACGCTAGGGACCTTTCTCGTTCCGCTGACAGCCAGCAACGCGCCGTCGGGCGAGAGGGCGATGAGATGCGGTGTTAAAGTGCCATTACTAGGGACGGCCATCTTGATGTCTGTGCCAGGCTCTTGAAAGCAGGGATTTAGTGGTCGCAGCCAGGGTTTGGGCGCATGCAGCTCGATGCTCTGTATGAGACAGGCGATGAGCGGGAAGCGTGTCTTGAGGCTGAGCAAACGCCCGACCAACTGAGTGGCCAGGTGGGCAATAAAGGTGTCGTCTTTCGGATTGACAATAGAATCGCTTGCTAGAATGGGTGTGATAAGTTTGAGGGCGTTGCGAATTAAGCGAAAGGCTTCAACTTCAATGGCAGGCAAGCGGCCCGGATCTGTCTTCGGAATATCCAACAACAGGTCATAGCTACTCGTCGAGACCTGATGCATGGTCTCAGAGTCTGCGCACTCAAACGTGCGTCGGATCCATCTGAAGTCGAGGAGCAAATTCCTGAGCTCGAACAAGTAGGTGTAGTCGTGCGCCAGCCACAACGGGAGCTTGTTAATATCGTTAATGGCGAGGTTCCACCAGGCGGTGCGCCCCCACTCATCCGTGCGGCACGAGTCCCTGTAGCGCAGCAGGGCGTCCTGGAGCGGGAGGACGACGGCGTTGGAGGTCGGGAGCGGGGTCCTTTGATCTGACAGGCGGCGCTTCTTGAGGTTGATGTAGGTCATGTCCGGGTAGGCTCGCGGGCCAACCGGGGACGCGGCATACAGCGAATGCGGCTCCCCCGACTCGGCCGCCGGGGCGATGTGCGGCAAGTGCAAGCTGGGGGCGATGGGGGTTTGGCGTGACGCGGCGCTCGACGGGTACGGGACGGGGCCGGGCAACGGCGGCTGCTCCAGCTTTGGTAGCTGCACGCGGCCCGCGCGACACTGCTCACGAAATAAATCTCGAAAAGTCTTGCTCTTCGACGAGCTGCGAGACTCGACAGGGGTATCCAGCTCCCTCTTGATGGCGTTATTGACGGCCTGGCGGCTCTGGTTGTCGTCGGTGATGAGCTTGCCCAGCATGAAGCGGCAGAAGATCCTGTCCCAGGCGGGGCCCCAGGCGGCTTCCGGGGTGCGGTCGTCGCGGAGCGCTCCGACGAGGGGCTTCCACAGGGCGGCGTGCTGCGGCGAGTCGAGGTCTGTGATCCACATGCGCATGTTGCGGGTGGGGGTCTTGCGCGTGCCGTCGGTGGACATGGGGATGGCGGGGACGGCGGCCGTGAAGGCGTCGAAGGCGGCGAGCAGCGGGGGCGAGAGGGCGGCCTCCAGCGCGGCGCGCGTCCACACGCGGCGCACGTCGTGCCGCGGCTTGCCGTGCGCGGATGCGCGCGACGGCGCGGGCGAGGCGGCGCGCGGGCGACGGGCCCCCGACATGCGTGTTGACAGGCACACGCGCGAGCGTGTTGACAAGACGGTTAAGGGGGGACGGGGGAGGGAGGGGGGGTGTGGGGGTAGAAGGAGCGAGGGTTTTTGCTGTTGACATGCGGGTCGTGCATGTTGACATCTGCGTTTTCGCCGCTTTTCTTCGCTTCTCGCGTATGGTTGAAGAGCCGAGACCGTGACACGTGGACACGGGGGGCGACTCCATTGGGCCGCGGTGAAGTGGACTGGCGACGCCGGTGGTGACAGATGGCTTGGCAGACAGCCCTTGGGCAGCGGCGGACCCGCTCGTGCTCTGCCACGTGCTCTATCCCAAAACACCCTGTCCCGCACGACCTCGCATCCCGCCATCCCCCTCCCGAACCGCAGCCTCCTCCGCCCCCACCGCCATCGCCTCCGTCGTGCGCGCGCCCCCGCGCCGCGCATCCGCCATCCCGCTCCGCGATGCCATCCGCCGCAGCGTCCGCGGCCTCGACGGGCGTGTCCACGGCCCTGTCCTCCCTGCACCACCGCCTGCACGTGCCGCCGCCGACCGCGCTGCCGCCGCCCCTGCGCGCCCCGCTGCGCACGCTCACCGCCCTCCTGGCCTCGTCGCTGCGCTGCACCACCGCCCCGTCGCGCGCCGCGCTGCTGCTGGGCCCGCCGCGCTCGGGCAAGTCGCTGCTCGTCGCGCACGCGCTGCACGCCCTCGTGCGCGAGCACGGCC